CCCGAGAACACAAAATTAAGAGTTTATTGCATTTCCCCATTGCTGACATTGCACAGAAGTCTAGGTGTGCAGGGACACTAAAATCTTCTCTCTCTGTTCCTGGCTTATAACCCAAGAGGAGACTCGAAAGTCCCTTGGAATTTGAAGAAATAATTTGCACTATGTGCCCAATTTGAAGGAGACAGAACCACCAGACAGTAAGAAAGAAGGGTTGGTTACTGGAGAAGTAAGATAAAAGCAAGAGAAAAGAAGAAAGAAGAGAAATAAAGAAGGAAAGGGAAGGGAGTTAAGAAATGAAGAGAATCCACAGCAGGGGCTCCTTGTAGCGTTCGAATCAGGACCCCCCTGAGACTCTGATGAAAACTACAGACCAGGAAAACACACACACACACAATTTTGGCATGAAATTTCAGATGGCTCATGGATCCCATTAACTCCAACTACAAGCTTGCATCCTTAGGACCAATTTGCCCCAGAGGAAGACTTTCTCCTCTAGAGGCTCATCAAATATCAGGGGACTGACAAAAAAAGATCACCTTGTTGTAACTGAATAGCAGATCCAAACATCCGGGCAGCAGACTGGCCTATCAAATAGCTGCCTTTCAACGTGTATGTATGTGTGTGTGTGTCCTAGCCGCTCAGTCATGTCTGACTCTTGGCGACCCCATGGACTGTAGCCTGCCAGGCTCCTCTGTCCATGGAATTCTCTACACAAGAATACTGGAGCAGGGTGCCATTCCCTTCTCCAGAGGATTTTCCTGACCCAGGGATTAAACCTGGGTGTCCTGCATTGCAGGCAGTTTCCTTACTATGTGAGCCACCAAGGAAGCCCTCCCTGCCTTTCAACTTACTAATCACTTATTGAGACTTACTATATGCTCAACAGTAGGCGAGCTTCCCTAGGTGTTTCAAGAACCATGTCACAGAAAACAGGGGTTTTGAAGGCTTCTTCCTGCCATCAAGGTCAAGCCAGCCTCTGGCAGCAGAAGTCAGCCCCCAGGGAGCATAAGCTTGTACAACCACTTTGCAGAGCAATTTGGCAGGATCTAGTGAAGCTAGGAATGCACAGAGCATACAACTCAGCAATTCCACTCCTGGGCACATGCCCTAGAGAAATGCACTCACAAGAAGGAGGGGACAGTTTTGTTCAAAATAGCACAAAGCTGGAAACAACCCAAATGTATAAATACACGGCAGAGTGTTCATACCACAGAATACCATGAAGCAGTGAAAATGGATGAATGGGACCATTCTTGTCAAGCAGATTAACCTCATACTTCTTATATACTTATCTAATTAAACTGTCACATAAGTATCATATACTTCTTATATTCTTATATAAAAGTGTAAATACATAAATGGAAATGATAAGCATAAAATTCAGAAAAGTGCTTCTGGATGGAGAGAAAAGAATGGGGCCAGGAAAGGGAATGCAGGGACTTACACCGTATTAAAAAGGTTGCATTTTTAAGAAAAAAGTTATTATTGGAGTACAGCTGATTTACAACGCTGTGTTGGTTTCAGGTATAGCACAAAGTGAATCAGCTTTGCATATACACATAGCAACTCTTTTTAGATTCTTTTCCCGCATAGGTCATTACAGAGTATTGACTAGAGTTCTCTATGCTATACATAAAGGTTTTGCTTTTTTTGGTCACCAATATGTTCACTTTTATTGGTCGTATATTTTACTACAACTTACTGTGCTTTCAAGGACAGTTGAAATATACTGTTTTCTTAGTCAAAAAGAACCTTCAGTGAAGTATGGATAAGACCTTTTTACTAGATCTTCCTAAAGTTACGGATTGAAGAAAAAAGGGAAAAGATAAAAGAAAATCAAATGATATATTGTTGAACCTGTGTAAAGGTTAATCTACTTGAACAAGTAGTCTTCGAATGGAATATCACATTCTTAATCTTGTAAAGGTTTCATTTTGATGGCGGTTTGCCCCCATCACCTCCCTGTCCTCACCTCTTCCACTTTTCCCCTCACCCACTCTGCTCCAGGCATGCTGGCCTTGTCACTGTTCATCAAACACAACAGACACAGTTCAACCTCTGGCCCTTTGCACTTGCTGCTCTCTCTACCTGGCACTCTCCTCCTTCGGCCATCCTCATGGCTTATTCACTCACTTCCTCCAGGTTTTCATTCAAATATCACCTCCCCAATGCTAGTCTTCCCTGACTTCAAGCCCTCCTGCCCATAATGCATCCCATCCCTTCTCTGCTTTATTTTTTCTCTAAAAATATCTCATCAACATCTAACACACTAGATACTGTATTCATTCATGCATCTTGTCTTTCTTCACCACTAGAATGCCAGCTCTACAAGAGGAGGGATTTTTGTCTGTTTTGACCACTGCTATGTTCCAGAGCATATAGTAGTCGCCTAATAGTCATTGAATGAATATTTGCATACACAGGCATTTGTTATATGATTCTCCAGTTCTTTTAGAATTATCCTATTATACCTTTTTAGAAATGATTATTTCTATCATGCTTTTTTTATCATACATTTTTAAACAACAACAACAAAGTCAACCACTGAACTGTCGCACACACAAGTTTCCTAGTAAGCAAAGAGAAAAGTGCTCCATGCCATGATACATCCAAGGAACCTTCTGAGGTCATGAGGCAAAGGACCTTGGGCACAGCAAATAGAGCCCCCGTCAGAAAACACTAGGGCTAGCCCTCAAAGCAGACCGTTCAGATCTGAAAGCCTCTACCAAAATAGCCCAACCGACACAGCTCCTTCTGTGAGAAGCAACGTTGCTTCGAAACAACTGATACATTTAAAACCTGAATTATGAGAGGCCAGCCAACACAGTGTGGACCCTAAGACCCATGACATCTGCCAAGAGAGGAAGGACCTGGAGCAGCAACAGGGCCTAGAGGAGAAATAGAATCCCACGGAAGAGAACTTGGAGAAGGAAGTGGCAACCCACTCTAGCATTCTTGCCTGGGAAATCCCATGGACAGAGGAGCCTGGCAGGCTACAGTCCATGGGGTCACAAAAGAGTTGGACACAACTTAGCGACTAAACAACAGAAGACAACTATGACACCGTAAGGAAAACTGTGATTCCCACACAGAAATGATCCCATCAGTTCAGCTCAGTTCAGTCGCTCAGTTGTGTCCGACTCTTTGCGACCCCATGAATTGCAGCACGACAGGCCTCCCTGTCCATCACCAACTCCCGGAGTTTACTCAAACTCATGTGCATTGAGTCGGTGATGCCATCCAATCATCTCATCCTCTGTCGTCCCCTTCTCCTCCTGCCCTCAATCTTTCCCAGCATCAGGGTCTTTTCAAATGAGTCAGCTCTATGCATGAGATGGCCAAACTGCTGGAGTTTCAGCTTCAGCATCAGTCCTTCCAATGAACACCCAGGACTGATCTCCTTTAGGATGGACTGGTTGGATCTCCTTGCAGTCCAAGGGACTCTCAAGAGTCTTCTCCAACACCACAGTTCAAAAGCATCAGTTCTTCGGTGCTCAGCTTTCTTTATAGTCCAACTCTCACATCCATACATGACCACTGGAAAAACCATAGCCTTGACTAGATGGACCTTTGTTGACAAAGTAATGTCTCTGCTTTTTAATATGCTATCTAGGTTGGTCATAACTTTCTTTCCAAGGAATAAGCGTCTTTTAATTTCATGGCTGCAATCACCATCTGCAGTGATTTTTGGAGCCCCACCAAAAAAATGATCCCATAGAGGATTATAGTCCCATAGAGGAATACTGGGCTCTCGTATAGGAGAACTATGAGGAATGTCTCCCAGTGAATAGGGCTCTTGGCAGAGAAGAAATAGACTTAGCTTGGAGGGGAGGAGTAGGTAAGCAAAGGAGTCCAAAATCATCACAAAATGGTAAAGCCTGTAATAGGACTGGATAAAGGGCTTTGGGGTCAGTAATGGGAGACTGGCTGACTATCCATCAAATCCATTTCCATTTCCTTTTAAGCACAGTGTGCTGTTTCCCAGCTTCTCTGAGCCATGTATGGGCATGTGCCTGAATTTGAGCAGAAGTCTGTATCAGTGAAAAAGGTTATGAGCCAGGTTCCAGCCAGGACTCTACAACCGCCTCCCTGCCCCAAGCATCACCATCCACGTTCATGTCTGTTCCATGATTTCCCGTAGACAAGCAGACCCAATCTGTGAGTCAACAATAGGGAACCACAGTGTACATTGAGGGCCTGTGTCCCTCAATCACTGTGCAGAGGAGAGAAGCCTGCCAATGAGAGACAACTGTTTTGATCCTTCAACGAGCAAGAAATAAAACTTCTGTTGTGTTTAAGTCATTACCTAGTTTTGGATTTTGTTGTTGCTGTTACAGCAGCTAGAGTTACCTTATACAGGGTGGACAGTATATATACCTTCACCTTTTACCTTTTACCTCTGGTTATTGTATCAGATCTGAGACCTCCTCAGAGGCATTGATTGCACCTTACTTCAATTGGTTTTCTCCATAGTCCCACCACAATCTCTCGCACCCTGAAGTCCTCAAAAAGCATTTACCAATTTAAAATAAAGGCAAGGTATTCCCCCAAGCAAAGCAAAAGGACCATGTGCACACAATAGTTACAAACTTGAGTTCCGGAATGACATCATCTCAGGTTCAAATCCCAGCTCCATCACTTACTAGCTGGGTGATTGCAAGCAAGTTCCTTCTGCGCTTCAGATTCTTCAGCGCTCACATGGGAATATTAATGTTTCCTAATTCATTGGATTGTTGTGAGGATTAAATGAGAGAATGCACGCAAAGCACTTTGGAAGCAGTCAATTCTAATAAGCTCTTATTCTAATTGTAACAGAAAGCATCTGCTATGATCTACAGCCGAGATGAGGAGGTGAGGGGGGTTGGGTAAGAAGGCAGAAGCACAGTGAAGAATACAGGGGCTCAGCATTTCTGAGCCCAGCCTGGATGACACCAATCCTTATGTTTCCAGAGTTCTCATCATTCAAGATAATTCTGAGAAACACAGAACAGGCCACTCACCCTGTTAGCACCACCACGAAGTCCATCACATTCCAGCCATTCCTCAAGTAAGAGCCTTTATGGAAGGCAAATCCAAGGGCGATGATTTTAATTCCAGCCTCGAAACAAAAAATTCCAATGAAGTATGGTTCTGTGTCATCCTGGAACGGGGAGAAGGTAAGATTAGTGTCTTTGGCTGGGCAGAGGGCAGCATGAACAGGGAACCACCCACTCAGAATCTCTACCCACTTCCCTTCACCTCTCCAGACTTTCCAGCCCTCACTGCACCTCGCTGCATCATGCCTGGATTAACCTTGTCCAAAGGCTACTGCGAGAAAAACAGAAGCATGGAGAAGACGACTCCTTTCCATTTGGCCAACTTTACACACTACTTAGGCAGCCATGTGTGACTATTTAAATTGAAATGAAGGGATTTCCTGGTGGTCCAGTGGTTGGGAAACTACCTGCCAATGCAGGGGACACAGGTTCGATCCTTGACTGGGGAAGATCTCCTATGCTGTGGGGCCACTAAGCCTGAGTGCCACAACTATGACGCATATGCACCTAGAGCCTTGCTCTACAACAAGAGAAGCCTCTGTAATGAAAAGTCTGCACTGCAATGAAGAGCAGCCCCCACTCACTGCCATTAGAGAAAGCTCACGCAGAGCAACGAAGACCCAGCACAGCCAAGAATAATAAATATATAATAAAAAAGAAATTTAAGTGAAATAAAACAAAAGACTCAGTTCTGCTGTCACTAGTCCCATTTCCGGTGGCTAAAATATTGGACAGTGCAGATGTTGGATATTTCCATCACTGTAGAAAGTTCCACAAGAAAGCATCGGTTGAGAATGTTTACTTGTCACATACATCATCCAGGACCCTGGGGTTGGTCCTATGCACTGGCCTCACCTCCAAGTCCCCAAATCTGACACGTGTGATGATTCTAAGCTGGTATGCACCAGTACAGCAGTTCAGGTTGAGAGAATACTGGAATGAATACTTCTGCACTGGCTGGTAAATGGCTAATGTTCCAGCTCCCAGCTCCCCGCCAGACCTCTTGCCAGGTCTGGCTTCCAGCTGACACTGTAGTATTAATGCTTGGAGTTAAGCTATAAGCTTTGTTCCATCAGAGTCCCTCCACTGCTGCCTCCCTCATCTGTTAATGACAATGCTTCTCAAGCTTCAGTCATTTTCATTCTGCTTCCACGAGCTTTCCTATACCAGCTCACCATTGCTACTACTATTTGCTTACTATTCTTTCAACAAACTCTTTTTACTTAGCCTGATCTTAAGCAAAAACAAATAAAAAAGTTTTAAATCATTGTTTTTCGGGACTAGTTATCTATTTTTAGGAAACACATTATAATACATAACTGCATACGTGTGCTGGGTTGTGTCTGACTCTTTGTGACCCCATGGACTATAGCCCACCAGGCTCCTCTGTCCATGAGATTTCCCAGGCAAGAATACTGGTGTGGGTTGCCATTTCCTACTCCAGGGGATCTTCCCCACCCAGGGATCAAACCCGCGTCTCCTGCACTGACAGGCAGGTTCTTCTGCTGCACCACCTTGGAAGTCCAATACATAGCTATTAACACGTAAAAGCCTTGAGATCATCAATATTATGTGGATTAGGAAGGAGTGACTTCTAACATCTCTCTCTCCCTACACTTGAGTTTTGAAAGCTGGCTTTGAAATGGTGACAGGAAGGAGCGAGGTCTCCTTCTTGGGATTGTCAGACTACCAGGAGGCAAACCAGGGGGCTGGGGGATGGCCTGGGGCATCAAGAGAGAACTTAGTGCTAGCTGACAGCTCTGCAGAGTTCCACTAGATCATCAACTGGATTGTGACTCCAGAGCTGATATTCATGTATAGTAAACCTGGGGAAAAGAGAAACCAGCTAAATGATACCCTAAGCAAGCAACCAGGCAAAAGTCAGAATGTGGGACCTTCCTTAGGGCAACTGGACTGGTTTCTGCAGAATCAGTGGCAGGAGGGAAGATAACTGCCTTAGAGTAAAAGCCTTAACATCAAATCTAGACCATGTAGGGATCTTGGCTCAAACAAAACAACCTGTAAGATGCCATTTCTGAAAGAATCGTGAATATTTGATTACTGGCTGGGATTTTGATGATTCCCAGGAACCACTGGTGGTTGGATGTCAACATGTCACTGGGGTGATGTAAGAAAGCACCTTTTTTGGCCACTCTCTGTGCCTTCTGGGATCCTAGTTCTTCAACCAGGATATGAACCCAGGTCACGGCATTGAAAGAACCAGGTCCTAACCACTGGACCACTAGGGAAGTCCCAGAAAGTGCCCATATTTTGAGCAATGCAGACTTAAGTATATGGCAGTGAATTGATGTATTGCCTGGGATTTGCCTTAACATACTTTGGCCAAGAAAAACAAACCAAGGAAATAAAAAACGAAAGGAAACATGAAGTGAGGCAAAATCTTGATATTTGTTGTCTTTGGATGATGAGTTCATGAGGGGTTCATGGTACTATTCTCCGTGTATTTATGTACGGCCAATATTTTTCACAAGAATTTGGGTTTGTTTGTATTTTTAAAAATTTATTTATTTATTTAAATCCTTTTGACTGTGCCACCAGGCTTGCAGGATCTTAGTTCCCCGTCCAGAGATTGAACCTGGGCCCTGATAGTGAAACCACCAAGTCCTAACCACCCAATTGCCAGAGAATTCCCCCAAATTTTGTTCTGAATGTGACTTTTCATGGACAATGTGACCCCTTCATCCCTCTCTAGATTGACAAGAGGTCTGCTGGGGGGCAAGAGTGGAGGATGGGCAGCAAGACTTCTCTCTCCCCAGATTATTGGTATTCATGAAATTTAGGTTCCCCAGGGCATCCACGGTGGCTCCGTGGTAAAGAACCATCCTGCAATGCAGGAGACTCAGGTTTGAGCCCTAGGTTGGGAAGATCCCCTGGAGAAGGAAATGGCAACCCACTCCAATATTCTGGCCTGGGAAATCCCATGGACAGAGAAGCCTAGCAGGTTCCAGTTCATGGGGTCAAAAAAGAGTCGGACAGGACTTGGCAACTAAACAACAGGCAGGGGGCCCAGGATCTGGTTCTTGGAGACAAGACTAAGAGCCCAGTCTGCACTCAGAACCCACAACCACATCAGTTTGCCACTAAAGCAGACAGCCTGGTGGAGAGACATCACTCACCAGTCGTTCAGACATCGGAGTCTTGTCGTCATCAGGTAGGTGTTGCTCCAGGGCGAGGACGATGCAGTTTGCTATGATGGTGGCTAAAATCATATATTCAAAGGGAGTATCACAGAGTTAAGGAAAATCTTTCCAGCTTTGTTTAGATTCAAAGCACAACTGAGTGGAAGATACAGGGATTTCCCACCTGTCCTCTGCCCTCACACAGGCATAGCCTGCCCTGTTATGAACGTCCCCCACCAGAGTGGTGCATTTGTCACCCGTGATGAACCTACACGGACATATCACTATCATCCGAAGTCCTTAGCTTACTTTATGGTTCATGCTTGGTGTTGCACATTCTGTGAGTTTGAGCAAACATTTAATGACATGGATCTACCAACATAGCTTCATACAGAGGAGTTTCACTGCCATGAAAACCCAGCAGATGATTCTGTAAGGAAAATGTAGATGCTCTTCCTCCATCTCACCTCCAACCTTCACTGGACAAACATCAATTTAGCAGCTATTGTGTGCCAGGTCCCGGGCACAGGGTCACAGCTGAGAGTAAAACTGACAGAAATTTCTGCCCCTGTGGAGGAGAGGCATACAGTACTGTATGGTGAATGCTACCGAGAGAAAAAGCAGGAAAGGAGGTTGGTGGTTGCAGTTTAAAAAACACTGATCAGATCCAATATCAAAATTTCCATCTTAACTGTCCATCCACAGAAAAATGGATAAAGAAGATGTGGTACATATGTACAATGGACTATTACTCAGCCATAAAAAAGATGGAATAATGCTATTTGTAGCAACATGGATGCAATTAGAGATTATCATATTAAGTAAGTCAGATAAATACAAATGCCATATGATATCACTTATACGTGGATTCTAAAATATACAAATGAACTCATTCACAAGATAGAAACAGCCTCACAGACTCACAAAACAAACTTATGGTTACCAAAAGGGAAAGTGGGGTTGGGGAGGGATAAATTAGGAGTTTGGGATTAACATATACACACTACTATATATAAAATAGATAATCAATGGGACCTACTCTATAGCACAGAGAACTCTATTCAACATTCGGTAATAATCTACATGGGAAAAGAATCTGAAAAGGAATGAATATATATATGCGTGCGTGTGTGTGAGTGTGTACATAACTGATTCACTTTGCTTATACCTGAAACTAACACAACATTGTAAATCAACTACATTCCAATTTAAAATAAAAATTAAATTAAAAATAAAATACAGTGATCAGGTTTGATATCAAAAGCATGATCAACAAAAGTAAAAATAGACAAATCAGACTTTGCCAAAATTTAGAACATTTGTGCATCAAAGGACATTGTCAAGAAAGTGAAAAAAAAAAAACCAACAGAATGCAAGAAAATATTTGCAAATCACATAACTGATAAGGGTCTAGTATCAGAATAGATAAAGAACACTTACAACTTGAGAACAAGGAGACAACCCAATTAAATAATAGGCAGAGTTTGAAAAGACATTTCTCCAAAGACGATTAGGAAAATGCAAATCAAACCACAATGAGATACCACTTCACATCCAGTAGGATGATAAGAATGAAAAAAACAGAAAACAGCAAGTGTTGGTGGGCTTCCCTGGTGGCTTAGTGGCAGAGAATCAGCCTGCCAATGCAGGGGACGTGGGTTTGAGCCCTGGTCCAGGAAGATCCTCACACAATGCAGGACAAGTAAGCCTGGACACCACAGCTGCTGAGCCGATGAGCTGCAACTAGTGAAGGCCGTGTCCCTAGAGCCTGTGCCTGGCAACAAGAGAGGAGCCCCCACTCTGCAACTGGAGAAAGCCCACACGCAGCAATAAAGGCCCAGCGGAGCTATAAATAAATAAATCTTTAAAAAAAAGAACTGGGTTGATTTATTTAAAAAATAAAGTGTTGGTGAGAATGTGAGAAGCTGGAACCACTGTATGTTGCTAGTGAGAATGCAGAACAGTGTGGCCACTGAGGAAAATAGTCTGATGACTCCTCAAAAAGTTAAGACACAGAATCACCATAAAATCTAGTAATCCCACTCCTGGGTATACACCAAAAGAACTGGACAACCAGTACTCAGATACACGGCCACAGGAGCAATATTCACAATGAGCCAAACGTCCATCAGGGAATGAAGAGTTAAACAATATATCCATAGAATGGAATATTATTCTGCCATAAAAATGAAGCAGTAACTCACATGACAGTGTGGAGGGGCCTCAAAAACATCATGCTAAGTCAAAGAAGCCAGATACAAAAGACCACGTATTGTATGAATTCCATTGATGTGAAATGTCCATAACAAGCAAACCCACAGTCAGAAAGCAGACTGGTGATTGCCAAGGACTGAGGGGGCTGAGGGAGGGGGAAATGGTGAGTGGTTACTGGATGTTTTGGAACTAGATAAAGGTGATAGCTGAACACCATTCCGAATGTACTGAATACCAAGGAATTAAAAATGGCTAGTATTGTTATGTGAATTTCACCTCAATAAAAAACAACATGGTAGTCAAGCCTCCAAGGATCAGCCCTTTCAAGATCTGAAGGAGGGAAGGTGTAGATCATATGGCCACTTCTAGATGCACATTCCCTCTCTCTCTGGGCACAAGCGCCTCCCTGAAACCTGGAACACTGCTCCAGCCACCAGACAGGCCCACTGGAGGGTCTGCCCTTGGGGCGGGGGGCGGTGTGTCCTGCTCACTTCATATCAGGACCTGATCAGCGGGTGATCCTGAATATCCCTGTTTCCCCAGCCAGATCCGCAGGAGCATCCTCAGGCCAACAGCCTTAGTAAACAAAGTTGGCAATTTCTTTCCTTTTTAATTTTTTAAATTTTATATTGGAAAAGAACAAAAGAGGAAGAGAAGGAAAAAGACCTAGGAAAACAAATTCAAAACAATTAACAAAATGGCAATAAGAACATACATATCAATAATTACTTTAAATAAAATTAACACAACAAAACTGGCAATTTCTGAGAAGGAGGCTTAAGTGGGGAGAAATGGATGCTAGAGGGAGAAAGCCTTAGGGTACTGCTTACTCTGGAGCGGGGTCTCCCAACTTGCGCACTAGTGACATGATGAGGAGCTGATTGTGGTGCTGGAGAAGACTCTTGAGGGTCCCTTGGACAGGAAGGAGATCAAATCAGTCAATCCTAAAGGAAATCAATCCTGAATATTCACTGCAAAAACTGACACTGAAGCTCCAATACCTTAGCCATCTAATGCAAAGAGCCAACTCACTGGAAAAGACCTTGATGCTGGGAAAGACTGAAGGCAAAAGGAGAAGGGGGTGGCAGAGGATGAGATGGTTGGATGGTATCACCAACTCAATGGACATGAGTTTGAGCAAACCCTGGGAGATAGTGATGGACAGGGAAGCCTGGCATGAGGCAGTCTATGGGGTCACAAGGAGTCAGGCATGACTTAGCAACTGAACAACAACAATAACAATTCTCTGTGAGTGGGGTTTCAGGGGAGCTGTCCTACATATTGTAGAGTGTTGATCAGCATCCCTGGCCTCTACCCAGTATGTGCCAATGGCATCCTCCTCTCCAGTTATGAGAATCAAAACTTATGACAACCAAAATTCATCTCCAGATATTGCCCAGTGTCCCCTGGGAACACTGAAATCCACTGTTCTGCAGAAGGATCAAATAGCATATCTTGAACTTGGCCACGTTAATGAACTACTGCCCTCCACCCAGCTTTCTCTCTTGGAAACTTAACTAGCCTCGGTATCCTGTTTGGCCCTAGAGTTACATTTAGCATCATGGAAGCTTCATAAAAACCAAGGGATCTTACAGGCTGTAGGAGGAGGAGTTGGAATATATACCCACTTTCCAGGTGTGAAAATGAAGTCTGAAATAGACAACCTGGGAGTAAGAGTCTAAGAAAGGAAAAGCAGGTCTTCTTTGTCACCAGCTTCAGCCTTTGCCTCCAGCTGAAAGCAGTCAAGCCACGCTCCATGCACACTTTGAAAAGCAAATCCAAGACTCAGGGCAATTTGGGGAGTCAACAAAAGCCATTCCTGCTGACGATCATCTCTGATTGGCTTCCTGCCTCCGAGCTGACGGTCATTAGAAGCACAGAGAACAAAGCTGGGCTGTGTTGCACAAATACTCCATTCTGCCTCACCCTGCAGCCCAGAAAATAAGAGACAATATTTGTACACAAAGAAGCAATGCCAAGCCCTTCCCTGGCCTCCCCTCGCCAAGGCTTCTGAAGCCATGATTTGAATCTGATGATTTCGCTTTCCTTCTCTGCCAACTCGCTCCCTGTTTGCTTCTGCACCAAGCTGCTGCCTCACTCTTGGGGCTCCCTGGTCTCCTGCCCCTAAATGGCTGGGATGTGACTTCCTTTGTATCTGATTCGAGCTGAGGTTCCAGGAAGAGTCCCACAAGACCAGCAGCAAGCTGCACTTTCATGGGCTGCGTTCTCAGGCTTTCAATTGCCCGCGGTCACCTGGGCTTCAGACCCAGAGTGCTCCAGTATGACAATGAAGTCTTAGTCAGCATGCAAACCAACAGAAAGAGGCTGCCCATGCCCACCTTATTTCTTTGTCAGATATGGGTGCACTGGCTTCCCTGGTGGCTGAGGAGTAAAGAATCTGTCTGCAATGCAGGAGACATGGGTTCGATCCCTAGGTTGAGAAGACCCCCTGGAGGAGGGCAAGGCAACTCATTCCAGTATTCTTGCCTGGGGAGAACGCCATAAACAGAGAAGCCTGGTGGGCTACAGCCCATGGGGTAGCAAAGTCAGACATGACTGAAGCCACTTAGCAGGCACGCATGCACAGATAGACTGGCTATCAAGGGTCACCTCCCTCTCTCCATGCACCCTGCCAGTGCCCGAAGACACACCCCAAATGGGAATCTGCAGCACTGACCTTACACCCTTGTTACTTAAGGTGTGGTCCACAACCTTGCTACTTAACATGTGGTCCATGAACCAAGCAGCGGAGGCCAACACCCAGTCAAAAAGCAGAGCGTCAGGCCCCACGCCGACCTGCTGAGTCAGAACTCACATTTTAGCACGATCTCCAGGGGATCTGTGTGCACACTGACGTTTGGAAAGTGCTGCCCTAG